GCTCTCGACGAAGATGGTCGCTCTTACCCTCTCCCTCCCTCCTGCTTTTTTACTCTCTTGTCCTGTTAACCTCCTCAGAGCCTCTCTTTACACATCTTCCAAATTGAAAATTATTATGGATTTGGTCAGCTGGTCAACGCAATTGATAAATTTTTTTCCACCAGACGACAGGGTGCTGGAGAGTCCTCATGCCCTTAACAGACCTACACAGCTTGGTATGTCATTGATTCCTGGAGGGGGTGGAAAATGATGTGCCTATCTGTGCTGTCTGTGGAGGACGTAAATGTGTACTAGGAATGCGCGATATAAACGGTATACGGTAGAAACGATAGAAATTTAGCCTACGATATAGATCTGTCTTCTACCGGCTAACCGCAGTAATGCTGTGTCTGATGTAAAATTAGAGTTTTCAGTTTCATCGTTACTTTTTTTAGTAGAAAACTGTGCGCAAGTGGCATTAAAGTAATTTCTTCAAGAGCTAAGTAGCGAAGCTACAAGCTAACTACAGCCGGCTTGCCGTAGTGTTGCCGTATTCAGACGCATGCGCAAAACGCTGAGTTCTGGCGAAAGTTGTTTTTTTTTCTGTCGAAAGTTAAAGTAAGCTTTGGTCAGCTTTAGAGAAACCTGCTCTCTGATCTGTAAAAGAACGCTGTGTTGTGTGATTTTACTGCGAGACCCTCTGGTCAAAGCCACAGACTCATTTTGTGTCAGCTCTCCATTAAAGCAGGAGGAGGCGCCCACTAGAGGTTTGGAGGGTGAAGTGTTTCAGTTGCTGCTCTGTTGCTGTTAATTTATTAAGTAAGATTGGAAACTGTTAAGAGTTAACAACATATTCTTTTGTTTAAAACATAAGGCTAAAACTACATTTGATATATTTTGCACTGTTTTGCACTACAAGAAAGAAGCCCAATACTTGATTTGTTTATTATTTAAAAACTCTATGGACCTAGTAGTGGAATTTTTTTAAATTCAAAATATATGATGGCAAAAGGACACCCTATGCTTTTTTAAAATTCCTATTAAGTTTTATACCAAAAAAATTGCGATATATATCGTTATCGCCACCCTTCACAATACATATCGTGATATGAATTTTATGCCATATCGCACATTCCTAATGTGTACATTATTGGATTTATAAGAATAGAGTTTCTGCTTTTTGGAATCGGTGGATACCTAGAATATCGACAAATTCATAAGACATCGGCAGCAGTTTTGGCCATGGTAAAGCTGCCAGCCTTATGTGAAGGATTAATTCGTGCCTCGAGCTCTCAGACTCATATGCTTAATGAGCTCAACCGCAAGCTGGACGAGGTTTCTGAGAATTGTAGGCCACTTGCGGCTCCTGGAACTTGCTGGCATGAAGGATTCGATCATGGAGAGCTTATCGAGCAGACCGGGCGAAATGTCCACAAATCTGGCTGTTTGGATTTGCCATTGAGTGTACCAGCAGAACTGTAGGCAGACAGAAATCAGGGTCTGGTGGTCCAAACAATTGTTGTTTATTTGAATTTGGCCTCCCCACTGGCCTTGGACAGGCCAACTTATGTCAAATTGCTCCTGGATACGCAAACTAGAAGCTTCTGCCCCACCACCACCCCCCACCCCCTGAGGACATCTGTGGCCTTATCAGAACCATGATGCTGATAAGAAACTGTACCATCTTATCCGAACTTTTGGAACTTTCTGGAGTGTCTATGGACAACTCACCTCCTTTGCTGACCTCTATGCATAAATGTATTATGATGTCATTGTATGTTGCCGTTTTATGTTGCAAGGTCTTTTTTTTTTTGCGTCTTTTACACTGTTTCCCAGCAAGGACATGGTGTGAGACATGATTATTTTTTTGGCTTCCTCCACCCTCGTGTTCTCTTTTTCTCATCTGCCTGTATGTTGTATGTAACAGGTATCTCTTCGAGTCTTCGAGGCTCAATGGGAACTATTCTGTATAAATAAAGGTCTAATAATAATTATAAAAATGGCTTTTAGATGTAATTTATATTAATTCACACAAACATTCCATCAATTTGTTCATGGCACGGCATCTCTGTCAAATTTAGAACCCTTTGTGGCCCGCGAGTCAAAGAGATTGTCCACCCCTGCACTGCACTAGACAACATTTATACTCTGAAGAGGACATCTGGTTAGAGGGGGAGGGAACCATTCAGACAGATGGAGGATCATTGCTTACAGAAACATTCATTTAGGTGTACCTTGCTGAACTTGTTTAGGAACAACAGGTATGCAGTAGGCTACCATGCTGTGGTTCTCCTTATTATGCTCAACTGCGCAAACAAGAGAATTAGCATTCAAAAAAGTGAAGAAACTAATTGTGGGCGATGATGTTAATACGTTAGAGATAAAGATTAAGCTCTTTTTTGGTTTTGTTTTCTGGTAAAATGCAATGGCTGTCCTTTGAACACACAGAACTGGAACAAATGTTAATATTCAACATAAATTTATTTTATAACATTTTCTACAAAAAAATACTGGTGACCTTTTAGGCTTCCATTCAATAATGATGCAAATGAAATAAAATAAACATAAGTTTAACACTTCAGTTTATGCTTTAAACTAGAGATTTACCAATATTAAACATTAGAGTTCACAAAAAATCCAATAAACAAACAAAAAAATGTTTATTACAGGAAAATGTAATTTTAATATATTGGAAAAAAAAATTCTACAATCACCGTTTTTGATGTTGCTGATTAAACAACTGATGGTAAATTTTATGTCGAAGTCAGCATCTTTTACAGATCAAAATCTTACAAACAAAAAAGTGTTTATCTCATTTTATCCATTTCACAGTTTCATTTTGAATTTGTGTACAAGTTCAAACATCATGACGGAAACTTTTTATGCACTTTGTTGACAAGGAAGAATAATCTAATGCTCAAACATAAGATACAACACGATGCTGTCAGAAGTTTCCATCCACTCATCATGAAGTCAGAAAACCAAGTTCAAAAGATTTCTAAAAACCAATTTGAATTTTCTGTGGATTTTCTCCAATTCCCACAAGGTCAAAACTATACATCCGACCATCCATCCATTATCTTATACCCGCTTCTTCCGTTTTGGGTCACGGGGGTCGTATTAACCCATGTCCAGCAATCATTGTGCGAGGGGCGGGGTACATCCTGGACAGGTCGCAAGTCCATCACAGGGACACAAACGACACACACAACCATTCACTCTCTCACTCACACCTAGGGACAATTTAGAGTTACCAATCAGCCTAACATGCATGTTTTTGGTCTGTGGGAGAAAACCGGAGTACCCGGAGAAAACCCACGCATGCACGGAGAGAACATGCAAACTCCACCCAGAAAGGCCCCCGGACCAGGATTTGAACCAGGGACCTGCGCACTGAGACGCAACAGCTCTACCAGTTGTGTCACCGTGCTCAAAACTATACATACATCCTCAAATATATCCACACACCCCTACTAATGTTTGGTTAGTCGTCCCTCAGCCAGTGTCCCCTTCTTCAAGCTCCTGGTAGATTTATGTCTGATGTTTGACCACTCATCTTTTTCTAGGTAGAATTAATTTAAATTGGTATTCTGACATAGGCCCGACATTGAATTACAGTCCACTGATTTTCTTTGTAAACGTTTGAACCCAAAAGTTTCAGCCTTAAAGCTTAACTGTGGATTTTCATGTGCCGATTCAGATGACTCTTACTCCCATAACTTTTCCCACATGTCTTGCAGAAATGAGGTCTCTTTTTATGTGTGCGCAGTGTGTGCTTTGAAAGAGCAGACTTATTAGCGAAGGTTTTTCCACAAGCTTTACAAAAGAATGGTTTGTCTTCCGTGTGATTTCTCTCATGGTTTGATAAATGACTGCTCCTGCTGAAACATTTACCACAGGTTGTACAAGTGTAGGGCTTCTCACCGGTATGACTTGTCATATGTCGTGATAAATGATTCCTGCAACCAAAACCTTTCCCACAGGTTTGACAAAGAAACAACTTTTCGCCAGTGTGAATTTTTGTGTGCCGACTTAAATGGCTATGGCTGTTAAATTTTTTACCGCAGGTCTTGCATGAATGTGGCCTCTCACCTGTGTGGATTAATGTGTGTTTCTTGAATGCAGGGCGATCAGAAAATCTTTTTCCACAAGTTTCACAAAAGTAGGGCTTCTCACCAGTGTGAGTTCTGGTGTGGATCAAATAACCACTTCCAAATCTGAAAACCTTTCCACACGTTTCGCAAGAATATGGCGTTTCATCAGTATGTGTTCTCATGTGGACCTGCATATTACTTTTACTTCGAAAACTTTTCTGACATACAGTGCAGGGATATGGTCTCTCACCTGTGTGAGTAATGTGATGTCGCTTCAACGTACTGGCTTTATCAAAGGTTTTTCCACAAACATCACATTTTAACAACCCGCTACAGGTTTTAGAGCTTCCTTCCTGATCTCGGCTCTTCGCTTCAAAAACGCTGTCATTGCTATTTGATTCTGGTTTATTGTCAGAACTTTCTTTATCAGTTTGACTCATTATACAGGTCTCCTGTTTTAAAACCAGCAGTTCTTCCTCCTGACTGATGCAGAGCTCTTTGTGTTCCTCTTTAATCTGTGAAGGTTCTGATTCTTCAATTTCTATATTAATCCAGGGAAATTCTGGTTCCTTAAATTCTTCTTTAATCCATGGAAATTCTGGTTCCTTAAAATCTTTTTTAATCTGTGGAGGTTCTGGTTCTTCAATTTTAATTTTAATCCAGGGAAGTTCTGGTCCCTTAAATTCCTCTTTAATTTGTGGAGACTCAGGATCCTCAAGTTCCTCTTTAATCTGTGGAGGTTCTGGTTCTTCAATTTTCATTGTAATCCAGGGAAGTTCTGGCTCCTTAAGTTCCTCTTTAATTTGTGGGAGTCCTGGTTCCTTCTGTTCCTCTTTAAATTCTAGAGATTCTGGCTCTCTCTGGTCCATCCTGGAGTTGCTGTCCTGGTTACAGAGCTTCTGTCCAGTACAAATCTCCTTACAAAGAAAATATGGGAGTTCTGGAGAAAGAAGAAAAAAGCAAAAGACAAAATAAAACATTTTTACAGATTTAAGTGAAATTTTAAGTCTGCAAATGAGAATTATCTTTTAGATGAACAAATGAAGGGATTAAAGCAGGAACAATTTTTTGGACTGAAATGTTTTGTTTTCTACACCTTTACTTATGTAAAAGTGATTTCTTAGATTTCTATTTTTAAAAAAATTTGCAAAAATCTCAAAAAATCGTTTTCACAGTCATAATGGGATATTGTGTGTAGAATTTTGAGGAAAGAGATGAATTTAATATAATTTGGAATACGACTGTAACATAACAAAATGTGGAAAAAGTGAATTGCTGTGAATAATTTCCGGATACATTTGTAGATGTTCTGTGCGTCAAAAATGTTGGTGAACATAGACTGTTTAAACACGATCACTGATGAAGATGTCTTACCAGCATCACAGCATGAAAAGAGTTATGAAGTCATAATCAGCAACAGCTGTCAATCAGTTTTGTAAATGGACTGTACTTATATAGCGACTTTCTATCTTATTTCAAGATACTCAAAGCGTATATATATAAAAAAAAATATATATATATACAGGTCCTTCTCAAAAAATTAGCATATTGTGATAAAGGTCATTATTTTCCATAATGTAATGATAAAATTGAAACGTTCACATATTTCAGATTCATTGCACACCAACTGAAATATTTCAGGTCTTTAATTGTTTTAATCCTGATGATTATGGCATACAGCTCATGAAAACCCAAAATGCCTGTCTCAAAAAATTAGCATATCATGAAAAGTTTCTCTAAACAAGCTATTAACCTAACCATCTGAATCAACGACGTAACTCTAAACACATGCAAAAGATTCCTGAGGCTTTTAAAAACTCCCAGCCTTGTTCATTACTCAAAACCGCAATCATGGGTAAGACTGCCGACCTGACTGCTGTCCAGAAGGCCATCATTGACACCCTCAAGCAAGAGGGTAAGACACAGAAAGAAATTGCTGAACGAATAGGCTGTTCCCAGAGTGCTGTATCAAGGCACCTCAGTGGGAAGTCTGTGGGAAGGGAAAAGTGTGGCAGAAAACGCTGCACAACGAGAAGAGGTGACCGGACCCTGAGGAGGATTGTAGAGAAGGGCCGATTCCAGACCTTGGGGGACCTGCGGAAGCAGTGGACTGAGTCTGGAGTAGAAACATCCAGAGCCACCGTGCACAGGCGTGTGCAGGAAATGGGACACAGGTGCCACATTCCCCAGGTCAAGCCACTTTTGAACAAGAGACTGCGTCAGAAGCATCTCTGGGACTGCTGCTGAGTGGTCCAAAGTTATGTTCTCTGATTTCAGTAAATGTTGCATTTCCTTTGGAAATCATGGCCCCAGAGTCTGGAGGAAGAGCGGAGACACAGAATTCACATTGCTTGAGGTCCAGTGTCAAGTTTCCACAGTAACTGGGGTGTCATGTCAGCTGCTGGTGTTGGTCCACTGTGTTTTATCAAGCGCAGGGTCAATGCAGCTAGCTATCAGGAGATTTTGGAGCACTTCATGCTTCCATCTGCTGAAAAGCTTTATGGAGATGAAGATTTCATTTTTCAGCACGACCTGGCACCTGCTCACAGTGCCAAAACCACTGGTAAATGGTTTACTGACCATGGTATTACTGTGCTCAATTGGCCTGCCAACTCTCCTGACCTGAACCCCATAGAGAACCTGTGGGATATTGTGAAGAGAAAGTTGAGAGACGCAAGACCCAACACTCTGGATGAGCTTAAGGCTGCTATCGAAGCATCCTGGGCCTCCATAACACCTCAGCAGTGCCACAGGCTGATTGCCTCCATGCCACGCCGCATTGAAGCAGTCATTCATGCAAAAGGATTCCTGACCAAGTATTGAGTGCATAACTGAACATGATAATTTGAAGGTTGGCGTTTTTTGTATTAAAACACTTGACTATCATTGGTGGGATGAAATATGCTAATTTTTTGAGACAAGCATTTTGGGTTTTCATGAGCTGTATGCCATAATCATCAGTATTAAAACAATTAAAGACCTGAAATATTTCAGTTGGTGTGCAATGAATCTGAAATATATGAAAGTTTCATTTTTATCATTACATTATGGAAAATAATGACCTTTATCACAATATGCTAATTTTTTGAGAAGGACCTGTATATAT